ACTTGGTTATAACTTCTACATTAGATACTCAAAACAAGTACATAAATCTTAGGAATTAAATTGATTTTTCTCTGGTTGGGATAACAATTGAATTCTCGAGATGTAATGCAGTGAAGTTATACTCATCCAATCTTTGGGGATTCAGATCTCCTGTGGGCTCTCTGGCTCTGTGCCAGACTGTGCTGTGCGGCCTGCGACGGTGCACTGCAGATGCTCACTGACCGACTAGTTATTGTTGGCTTTAACTAGCACAGTTTGTGCACAGGAGAAAAGATGACTGTGGGTCCCAGCAGGTCAGGAAGAAGACTGGTTCATTCCTGATGAAGCGCTAGTTCTGAATAGTGATTCAGCTCTCCACAGTTCTGACCTGTTCACGAGGCTTGCTGCTGATGTTAACCTCGGGTGGATCCTCTGGTTACTCTCTGGCAACCTCCGCTCTAGACTCTTAGAACAAAGGAAAGTTCTGGCACTCAGACACACTGGCCGGTCCGTGGTTGTTCAGGCTGAGTCTCAGGATGGTCAGGAGGTGCGCTGCGAGAATGTCCTGCCCTTGGGAGCCTTTCTGCTGCCCTGGAATTGTCCCGCACCCCTAGAATTCTCCTTAGAATTCTCCTACTGGAAAAGTCCACGGAAAAGTCCACAACAGGCTCTCTGTGTGGCCTGTTTTTACCTGGAGGAACTTCAGCTCGTTCATTGGCTGAAAGTTTCATGGGCATCAGAGTCCCACGTGGGTTACTCTGCCCTACCAGTTCCTGATTGGTTGATCAAGGTGAGATATGAGTCACTTCCTCCTGACACCTAAGAATGCAGTCCAATATGTCCATCTGGCACTCCCTAGACAGATAGGCGCCTATGGATGACCATTGATCATGATAGCCATGCTTAGCTAAGTGCATCCCCATTTGGGATCTGTCCCTTATCAAAAGAAAACATCTTTAAATCAGCCTGCATGAATAGCTTCTCTGTGGCTGCACCACAGAGATGAAGAGGGAGATAGGGCCTCATTTGGGAAAGCACAGCAACACTTAATTCTGTCTTATTAACAAGCATTGCCGCTACACATCGCTTTCGAACCCAGACCGCTCTCGGAGTCGATAGAGCTATTTCTGAGGTACCAGGTACATTTTTTCAGTGTGATCCATTATTGACGTTGTAGAAGCCCCGTAATCAATGGTACTGCAATACTCAACAGGGTCCCGATAAAACCGCCGGACTGGTTCACCAAGAGTCTCTTTCTTTTAAGAGAAAGACCCTTTCGACTCAAAGTCTTTATAAGGTTACGCTTTCTCTTCAGGGTCCCAAACTGCTTAGCAGATAACGGTATGTTCCCTTTCAAGGTATTCAACGTTACCTCAAGGTTGTAGCCCCGCAGAGTATAGCTTTCCGCCGATTGGGGGCGGCTTTTACCAGAAAATGTAAGAGAGTCAGGTTTCTCCGAACACATGAAGACACGACGATTCCTCAAACGTGTTTTTTCGACTGAGTCTGTGGTTGCGAGATCACCGACTTTTAGATTTTTTAAATACATAAGCCGTGGGTACATCTGCGGGGAAAAGACCTGTTCGCAAACGATAGTCATCTGGGGTGTCGGCATTTAAATCCACCAACAAGTAACTGAAAGGTTTTTTAGTAGCATCATCAAACTTACAAAAAAAATTTGGCTTTACCGGGGTACATCTCCCAGGACAGGGTTGTAATCTGTAGTTTATCTCTAGGGTTTTTAAACAGCTCCATGTACTTTGTATTTAACGCTATGGTTCTACTTTTCCGGCCTTGACGAAACACATTTTGGACGATATACATGATGCTGAGGTTTCGGTGGTGTACGTATTTGGTAAAAGCTTTTTCTATCTCATTATTTTCACACGCAGACTCCATCAAATCAAATTTACTCTACCCGGCGGCAGTAGCTGGTCGTCGGAAAACGACATCAGTAGTCCTTCTATAAACTGAATGTATGGAAATTTCACAAGCAACTCAGCGTACAGAGGTTGCCAGCAGCTGTAACACCAGACTATGTTTTCTGGTTTACGAGTCATAACTGTATCACCATTCTCCAAGAGTTGTTTTATAAAATAACTTTTACCGCAATTTGAGGGTCCGGACAAAATGCCTGAAAAGGGGTGTTTTAACCTGACATCCATCGTGTTAATATCCGTAGGGCAACGATGTCAAATTTTCTTGCAGCACCCGCTTGTCGTACACCACATTCTGGGATTTCTTTAAGGTCCGGGTCTCAATGCGCCAATCCTTTTTAACACGCACAATCATCGGCTGTTGAATAGAAATGTGTATAAATTCCCAGCAATCTGCATAAGGGTTAATGCCATAGTCAAAAACCAAGTCCCGCAGACTCTCAAAGTTAACTTTTTCACAATTGTTCACATTGAGCGTAATGCCTTTCACCTTTAAACGGGCTTTCCCGCCAGACAGCTTGTATCCGTACGACTTGGGTCCTGTTGACACAAACTCGGTGATGTGTTCTCCAGCATCGATTTCGCTGGTCAGCTCACCCAAATAGTCACCCAGCCCCGGATTCCACTCACCCTCCCAGTTCACAAAGATAACAGAATCTGTGTCGTGGTACAGACAGTGGCCTTGCAAAGCATTTAGCAGATTGTATAACTCCAAGCGGACATAGGCGGTTGTAAAGCTAGCAATGAAAATGTTAGTGTTTGAATGGCCTGTTTAGTGGTGTTTAGTGTGTTTCCATGTAACACAAGCTGTGTTTTCATCGATAAACTCGCAGGCTGACACCTCATGATATGGCATAAATAAGTTCCTGAACAATTCATCTGGGTTTCTCACAATGGTGGTCTGTGGTAAATTGTTTCTTTGCGCCCGTACTTGCCCCACAAACTGTTCAAGGCAATTTTTGAAAGGTGTCTTTTGGCTGGATTCTTTTTATGTTGCTGGGGTCCAGCCGGACACCCTCTTTTTCATAATATTCGCTGATATATCTTTGTTGTTTCGTGACATCTGTACACCACTCTGGAAACCCCGAAGCTTCCTTTTTCCCTTTCAGATGCAGTTTGATGTAGTCGGTAAAAAGATTGTGTGAGGCCTTTTCGAAATGCCAAATTTCGTAAATTTTACACACTCTATACCCCAGATCTAAGGCCATCTGTAATTCAGGGGTGCACCAGACACCAATCAAGGCGCGATCTTCATCACTGTGCTCACAGGGAGTGGTCTGTTTTGTTTTAGCACAC